AGCGCAACTTTTTGTGCGCAATAAATATAGTTTTTTTAATGGGTGGCACTGTAGCTCTCCGGCCTGTCCAATAATATTTCGGAGGACTACAGATCTGCACCTGGTACCCCATGCACTTTTACAAAAATTATGCATGGCTAGTCGATTATGAAAATTATTGTGTCCTGATAAGGCGATTTGTAAAAGTGTAACAGCATGTTAGGAACAATGTGCCAACACAGTGTTCTCAACACTGTCAGGCTAAGGCAAACTAAAACAGCATGCAGCTGTGCTGACACAAAACATGCTTCCATGGTAACTAAACTTTACACAGTCTATTATGTGTTAGCTTGACGGTGTGGTTTAAACAGCCTGTTGAAACATCTTTGAAACCATGTCGTCATAAACACACTAGCCGATTGTCATAAGCGTTGTAGTGCATTTTTACTTCATGCTAGCGTGCAAGATTATTAAACCAGCTAGCATGTTGTCATAAACTTTGTATAGCATGGTGTTATAAAGGAGCTAGAGCTGCATTTTTACTTTGCGCTAGCTCATCGTTCCTTATGCGATAGTGTTTTGGGACTTTTGTTACTTCATTAGCACACTGTGCCTAATGTATCACCTTTACAAATAGATTTATCTTGACACATAAAAATCATAACCAAATACCATCTTTCTGACTGATTAATCATTTAACAACTGTTAACCATTACCATTCCTAATAATTTTTTATATGAACAAGTAACGTACATTTCCTTTATTTGAAATCATGAAAATGTGTTATTTTAAAACATCCTCAAATGACTGCTTGTTAACCTATATTCATAAATTATTATAGAGTAGTTTTACAAGTAATACACATGCAGACAATGTGATAGTATCTTTGAATTCAGTTTGATGGTTTATCTTATCTTATAAGTTGCACTTTTAAAAAAAAAAATCAATGAAAAATTTCAAATTCTTTTTATAGGTGTGACTGTGACTGTCATCTGAGTACTGAAATTTGCTGCCACGCATGATCCTGATTTGCCAGAAGAGCATCTGTTTGGAGATCAGATGACAAAGTATAAACAGCGTAATGAAATTGAAACTGTCATGTGAAACAGTCTCAGTTTAGGAAGATGACTTTAAATATAGCATATTCGAATTTTGATTTGAGAAAAAGACATAAATCCACAATTTGACAAATATGAATATATCAACTGCTTTCAGTTTTTCAAGAGAAATAGATTTTGTTACAGAATCTAGTATGTTTAGTTTGGAATAAATGTTCTTTTTAAATGTGTCAGATCTTGCATGTTTACGTAGACCTGTATTAAGGTCTTCCATTTCTAAGGGAAGGCATACTAATGTTAATGGTTAAGATGATAAAGCTCTGTCTTCAGCAGCAAAAGATATTATATATGTATTTTTATACAGTATTATGGAAGGAAAGTTACTATCTTGGCACAAACAACTACACCATTAACATATGTGCATTTTTCAGCACAAAGGACATGTACATGTTGTTTCAAACATAAGATCAAAGAGATGTCCAATCATATTTAAAAGTCAACAAAGTACTAAATCTGTATACAGTTTAACTCATATGAGCTAATGCTGTAGTAATTTTTTTTAAATAAAAGTCACCCATTATCATCTTTGAATTAAATTCATCAAAATTTCATGTTCTTCTCAGAACCACAGGCACAGGACAATTTAAGTTAAACTTGGCACAGAGCATTCTTTAGTGTAGGGGAATAAAATTTGTTCATATGAAGGGCAGTGCTTTTATAAAGAGATCTCTTTGTTGAATGTCCTGTTCAGAGAACTTTTCTACACTCTTATTGAGATACCAGCATTTGCCAGTGGAGGTCTGCACAACACATCCCTTTGTATTTCTTGTAAAAGTATTGGTCTCTTTCTGAACTGACAAAAAATGGAGATAGTTTATCAGGAACACATTGGGATTTCTTACTATTATAATACTATCTAATTATACTGTGTAAATGTTTTTAAAGCATTTTTTTAGCTGATGATATATCAAAACACTGATATATCCGTAGCATAAAACACTTCACTAATATGATTGCATCATAGGTGATAGTATATGTCTACGAGTCAAAATATGAGGATGTATAAATTTTGTAGGTACAGTTTCAATGGTGTTGGAGAGATTACCATTGGATTATTTATCCTTGTTTATCCTTGTGCTCACTCCAGAATCAGACTTTAAGAAAGAGTTTTTGCTGTTTGAGTCAAAGAATTAAAGAATGGTAGCAAAGTTGACATTTGAACATTTCACTTTTTGCTTATTGCTAAGATTTGGAAGACCCACTCGTTGCTTTGCAACGAGCTTTGCTCTAGTTATGATTTATATTTTTACAGTAAGGAATCTAATGTCGTTTAAGTCACATTAATTATACTATTTATAAAACATATGGAGATAACAAACAGTATTCAAGATCAAAAGTAAAAAAAAATACAAAATAAGTGCAGAGCAAACACAGACCTCCAATAAATCAAAGGTGGAATCAGGTGTCATGGAGGAGTAAGCATCCCCTGCTGACCGGTCACACCCGCCGTGTGCTCCTAGTCATTATCGGGAAATAACGGGAAAAATCCGTCGTCAATTCAATGTATAAATAATAAACTAACAATTAGAATGAAGAAAGTCAGTCAGCATTTGACTGAGTGATAAATTGTATTTGCCGACAAGGTCATTGTATCGACCATAAAACTTACATGATTATTACTTTAAACAAGACTGCTGATATTCTTGTTCCATCAACTTTTTTGTCAATAATTTACTTCGTTTCAGAAATTGTTCATACGTAGAGCGCGCTCTTACGCATCGAATCAACTGAGACACATAAACTCCGTATGCAGGTGATGAAGGTATAAAGCTGCATAAGTAAGGGAAGTTGACGATTGAATAGTTAAAGTCATCACTTTACCATAGAACTTTGTTGTTATATTACCATTAAGGTCTCTTTCAAGTAAAATATCCAAATATGAAAAAAATGTCAAACTCTGTAATATCTTTTATCTCAAGCTCACCAGGATATATCGTATCGACATAAATATGGAAATATACTATTTTTTAAACTGAGGCAGCTACAGACAAATAAGTTAATGTTAAAGGTATTTAAGTAACTCGTTTAACGTAGCATACGAAGGGTGATCAAAAAGTTCGCCAACTATCACTATATCTACAAAATATCAATTCTGATTAGAGAAAATGTTGGTAAACAGATAGCCATACACATGATATATAAATAGCATATGCTGAATAAAGTTTAACTCCTTGTTTGTGACGTCACAATGTGAAAATGACGTAACTATGTAGATCACTTTTGACATAAAATGGTTGTCTCATTCGTACTCGTCCAACGAACGACTGTTAAAATTTTAGGTATATCTTAGAAACTCTTTTACAGTAGCATCTAATAATTTGTACAAGGTTTATTCAGACAAAAGAATTCCTTTAATTCAATCAATGGTTCGATTGATCGTTTTAGTGAAGAAATGCAGATGGTTAAATATGATATTTATTATGTTGCCCAGTGAAAGCAAATTTGAAAAGAGATGTGTTTTTTAATTAAGTAATTTGTTATCAAATTTACAGTTAAAAAATAGTTGAATATCTTAACAATAATATTATTAGTATATACCTAAGATATCGTTTCTTTTAGATTGTAAACATAAAAGATGTGATAAAAAGGTGGCACCCAGTGTCTATCCACCTTGAACAAACATCTCTCCCGAGACAGAAGATTTGGTTTTTATTGTCGCCATGCTCATTTTAGGAAAACATATTCTTATCCACCAATTCTGTTGCTGAGATATGGCCATTTCAGATAAATAAACTGCTCTTGTTTTAAAAATTAACTTGCATGGAAAGAAATGTAAAGCTCAGAAAAATCTTTCAGCTTTTGTGATAGAACGCTGCGGAGCGGTCACGTGACCGCTCATATCACGTGATTCGCGAATGAGCAAAACGATGGCAGATATGCATTAAAATTGGAGAGGACTTATTTAGAATACAATCAACACCGAATACATGCAAATACTTAATTCTTTAATGGAAGTTACTCAATTATTTCGCGAACTATTTGATCACCCCTCATATGTCAAAAAAAAATGTTATAATGACATTGTTATATATCAAATATAACATTATCCAAATAAATGATTTTTTGTTTTTAAAGATCTGTAATTTTAGCATTCCAAAGTAATACATGAATATTTTATATGCATGCAAGCTTTACCAATAACACATCCCATTCTGAAACTAACAGGAGTTGTTGTTGTTGTTTTTGTTGTTGTTGAAGTTAAGCTAAGATTAGTATATTTTGAGAATTTTTTATCTTACAAGTTTTGTAAGGTAAAGTAAGCTATGTAAAAACATCAATTCATTAACTGGTTCTGAAATTAATAAGACTGACTCATTCAATTTGTCAAATGAAATTCATTGAAATACATCCCTTGTCACTTTAGAACTCATTTTGCAAATTATTCATGTACAGATTAAGATGAAAATGACTCTTTTTTTTTTGAGAAATCCTTTCTTCTAGTAATAAATGTTACGAAGTATTATCATTTTGGTAAATGTAGACCAAAAAATAGTTCTATCACTTGATATTGAAATTTCTGTAAATCTGTTTGAAATAAACTTGAAATAAATCTCCTTTACAAACAGCCATTATATATTAGAAAAGGGGAATGCTGACTTACTGTACGTCTCAGATTATACTGTTCGTTATCTCCATATCCTTCATTAATAGGATTGATAATGAGGAACCAAGACAAAGCATATCAACTGGATTTTTTCCTGTTTCAGATTCATTTGTAATGCATTTGTGATCCTTGTTATACTTTTTATGCTTCATGATCATTCAGGAAAGGTATTTGTCGAATTCCAAATGCAAATTTTAATTTTTACTTCCTTAAACACACTTTTTGGTTTTTTATTTGTTCTTTTGAGTGGTATTCAATTTGAAATATATGCAGTCACGAGTTTATATTGAGGAAATATTTTGTTGTTATCGGCTCCAAAAAAGGATTTTTAAAATTTTTGTTTCCCGTATGCATCAGTAAAATGATGTGGCAGTTAACTGTCGTTCAAGGCTTTTCTCTCTGGCAAATAGCCCGTGGGTACACCAGATATTGTAAGTAAACAAAATGCAAATAAAAAAAAATAATAATACTAACTTAATTAATTTCATAAGATATACGGGTTAGCTCTGCTCTCGATTTGAATGGTTTGAATAACTTTTGAACCTTAATACAGTAATTAATGAAATATACACATTTAATATATAGAATTACTATGTGTGTGTTCTAAATGCATACATTAGACGATTAAAAAGAATTAAGGATTATATATGAGTTAAAAGAAATGTTTTTTAGAATTAAAGTATATTTTTCGTAAAACATCTAAACTTTTTTTCAATGAAGATTTATTTGAAAATAAATGCAAAGTGAAATACATGTTTTTGTAGTAAATTTTGACGGAAAATGTGATTATATCGGCACAATAGGTATTGATGATGATGAAACTTATTACCTTACATGGAATGGATCTGAATTTACTCAATCTTGTTCATATACATTCAGTCCCGGCGCAAATAATAAAATATGCGTGGATGCTCAACAGTTCTTTATTTCTGATTGTTCTGCTAAACTTTGGTATTATGGAGGACTTTTGGGAAGCGAACTAAAAAGGGTAAATATATTTATATTATTTTTGTCATCAATCATGCTTGAACATTTACATTTATCCTTTCAAAAAGAAGCATTAGTTATGAAGAAAATGGAAAGTCCACTAATGTTTGTGAGTTTCCTCAAGTTTTAACGGACACCCCTCTCCCCCCCCCCCCCAAAAAAAAATAAAATAAAATCATTTCCTCTTCCGAATATTAACATTCTTGATTGCAATATCTTAATTTTTCTTCATAAAAGAAAAATAATCCTGTCTGTATGTAATTTAATGAAATGTATATTCCTCAAACAATTAAGGAAGAAAACAAACGAATATTCCTACACTACAATCTTACTATTGCATGAAAGATTTAAATAATCAAAACAACTTATTTTGTATGTAATGTTTATTTCACAACAGACATACAGTTGTTTGGATACAATACCTGAAAAATTCTGTGGCGAGGAATTCCATTATGTCAAGATCAAATTAACAAAGTCGTCAAAAACGAATGCACTCGGAAACTTTACACTGAAAGTAACGACAACAGGACCTTTGCCAGGTATGTTTTAAATATAAATTAAGTGAATTTATACCTAGCATATAAAAAGAATATTATTTAAAGAGCAATGTTCACTGTAACACATATTTGGCCCTGTTGAAAATGAAATATCATAACTGCTCAGTATCAATTAAAAATACATAATTTTTTGAATAGACCTAAAGTGAACTTAGCTCTTCGGAGATGCACACTATAAAAAATAGTCATCTTTAGCAATTATTGCAAAAACAAATCCATAAGGCGCTTAAACTATAGATTTTTCCGGGGGTGTTATTGTTATGATATTTTTCTCCAATTATTTTTTTCTGAGTGACAATAATCATATACATTACGGAATAATCTCCAACAGTAGGTATCATTATTGGTTCAATCTTTGGTGGAATCATCTTGCTGGCCATCTTCTTCAGTGTAATAAGATGGATTTGTCGTCGGCGTCAAATCGGAAGAGTACCGAATGGAAATGGTGATCAGAGTCCAATTATTACATCTACAGGTACGATATTTGGAGACTGACAATTGGATTGTTATCATAACAATTTTAAAACTTAACGAAAACCGGTCATGGAATCCAAAAAATGAATAAACAAGCTGATTCAATGAATTCGTGCCCCCCGCTTGGGGAAAAAGTCGAATCCCCCTAACTGAATTTGTAGAATTATTAAATGTATGCATATACTGAAGCAAATAAAATACATGTTTGTCAATATGCATATAAAGATTTGATTGCTTATTCTTTATTATGTGTATAGAAGATTCTTTTTATATGAAATATTTATCACACTGTAATGATGATTTTATGAGTTTGTACAAGCCAGACCTCATAAATTTTTCATTTCACATGCTGAATACTATCATTTAGTAAAAAGAAAAGAAAAGTATTTAAATTAAAAAAAAAGGATCGACCGAGATTCGATCCCGGGACCTCTCATGCGAGAGACATACCACTAGACCACGGATTCACTTTACGTAGTGTCAAGTATATGCAGAACTAAAGTCACATTCATGAATATATTCATGTTCGATATTCTCAAAATTTTACACAATCCATAGTGTTTGATTTATTTAGCCTTTATTAAACAGTTCTAATAGACGTAATAAGAACATAAAGTCCGCCGAGAACCTGTTTTATACGCAATAACTCTCCTCGTGCCCCTGTGCTAAAAATAGCGACATGTAATACTATAAATACTAATACAACAAACGGGGCGGGGCACTTTGAGAGGGATGAGAGAGGCCCTAGGGAGTTTTGGTATAAAGTTACATTGCATAAGCTCAAAATCTTCTTGAAATATCGCCCGGAAATGATAGTGTTACACACACAGAGAATGTATTAATTTACGACCTTGAACTTTGACCTTTTGACCTCAAAATCAATAGGGGTCTTTATTAGGCCACAAGGAGTTGCTATGTAAAATTTCATTGCAATAGCTATGGTTCTAGAGATATCGTGTGGAAACGAAAGTGTTATAACAGAAAGAATTTGCTTATTTATGACCTTGACCTTTGACCTTTTGACTTCAAATTCAATAGGGGTCTTTTTTAGTCCATAGGAAGTTGCTATGCTAAATTTCATTGCAAAAGCTTAAAGGGTTCTGGAGATATCGTGTGGAAACGAAAGCGTTACAGACAGACAGAAAGACGGACGGACGGACAAACCCAAATTGATATCCCCCACTTTTCAAGCGGGGGACAATAAATATCACCGGGTTCACAGGTGCGTGAAAGTCAGTCAATATATCGGGTCTCAATGGATCAGGGTTTAAAGCGCTGACATGGTACGCCAGAGGCCCTGGGTTCGAGTTCCGGTTGAGACTTAATTTTTCAACACCTGTGACATTTGGCGCCAAACGTAACAAAACCCACTATTCCCTAGGAGCATGCTTCATGCATTTTCGTAACTCATAGAATTTGAGGACAAAATTCAACGATGAGGGGAAATATGTCACCGGGTTCACAGGTGCGTGAAAGTCAGTTGATGAAGGAGATAACGAACAGTAATCAATCTCAAAGTCCATAAAACAATACAAAATAAGAGCAGAGCAAACACGAACCCCCGAAACATAAAAGGTGGGATCAGGTGTCATGGAAGAGTGAGCATCCACTGTCGACCGGTCACACCCGCCGTGTGCTCCTTGTCATGAGCTGTGGAAATAACGGAAAAATCTGTCGTCCATTCAGTGTAAAAATAATGGAATAACAATTAGATGAAAAACGTCAGTCAGCATATGACGTAATGATAAATTGTATTTGCTGACAAGGCCATTCCACGACCATAGAACTCACGAAATGATTACCCAGTTTTATGTTAACGCCCCCAAAATGTACCTGATTCAAGATAAAAAATTCACCGCCTGTCAATCATTAAAAAACAATAGCTTTTGATTTGATTGACAGGTCAGCTACGTGTACCTGTGCTTCCTGATAATCTGAGTTTGTATGTTTTGAAAACAATTACCTGGTCACGCGTCATACTCTTTCATGTACCCGCATAGTATACACGCGGGTTAGAAAACTCCAATATGTTTGAATTTTATTTAAAAAAATAATTGAAAGTAGATTATTAAAGCATTGACATTATAAAATTTTTCTTTTCTATCTTCACTGCTGTTTGTTACTTGTAAGTGTTATATCGTCCACGTTATCTGTAGAAAAAAGACCGCGTCCACAGAAACCGGCTCTATTTGCCGTAATTGGAAGTCCGACGATTTAAATTATTTTTTAAGAAATATCCGATCTCGATAGCTCAGTGGATAGACCTCTGGCATGGTACGCTGGAGGCCCTTGGTTCTAGTCCCAGTTAAGACTGATTTTTCACCACCTGTGAGATAAATAAAAATGAATTAAAGAATAATGAAATTTAGAGTAGTTTAGTTGTGTGCCAAGTAATACTGAATTTAAGATAAAACTGTCGGAAAACAAGCATGATTAAAATAAATATCAAAAACATTTTTTTAAATGACCATGGCACGAAAAACAACAGTAATTTGAAAAAAATGAGTCTATGTTTTAATACAGATCACTTGTAATTTGTGTTTATTTTAATACATAGTGACTCTCCATCCACCACCACAACATTACGGCACAACGTATCCCGGCAGAGAGCAGAACAACACAACTCCACATCCTTATCCAAGCGCTGTCCAGAACAACCATTATCCTATCGATTATAACATTCAAACTTCATATCCGACTAAATAACGTTCGTAATGCCCAGGATATTATTGATACGATGATTTAGCCACCCTCGGGTGAGTAAAATGTTCAACTCGCCGTTCGGGCAAAGAGAATATTGCTCTCCGTTTATCATTGTATTTACCTCAAAAAGAACAATTATTGTATATATGTGTTATAGAAGGTCGTTTCTTTTGGTTTTATTTATTTAAGATGCATACTATGTATGATTCATATTTGAAATAGCTTTATTGATATATTTTAATGCTGTGCATCCGAGAATATATTTGATAACCTCGAATATTAATCTAACAAAGTAGATTTATTGTCCTTAGCATAAAAAAGAGCTCCATGGAAAATCCTATTAAAATATTTAGATGGGTATTTATCTTTATGCATTGAGACAAGCCATTCAATTGAGCCTCATTTTCCGTTGGAAAATATGTGTATGTTAAGTGCTGTATGATATGTTATTTAATCATCTCACGTTTTCCTTTTGTTCTATGATTTTTTTTGTTAGATTTGTCTGTTTCTAGCAGAGCAAATTTAAAATAAAATGTTCTTTTTGAAGAACAAATAAGTTAAATTTAGTCATAAGAACGTCCATAACATTGTTGTTCATATATGCGCCAACTACAAGTTTTTGTTCGAGAAATGTTTTGAATTTAATTGCAATATAAACATTTTGTTAAATTTGATAATTAAGATGTATGTACATTAAACAATCATTGGTTGTTTTCAAGCAATGTACATAATTTTAGAAAATAAAACTTTACAAATTAAATGACCATTATGTATGTTTTTATTTGAGATACGCAGGAACATTCTCTATGTATAAACAATTTCTAAAACGAGGTAAATAAATTATTGAAAAGCGAGTTGATGAAACAAGAATATCAATAGTCTCGTTTAAAGGCATCATTTTGTACGTTCAATGGTCGATACAATGACCTTGTCAGCAAGTTCAGTTTATCATTGAGTCGAATCCCGACTGCCGTTTTTCATACTCATTGTTAGTCCATTCCTTATACATTGAATTGTCGACAGATTTTCCGTTATTTTCCGATCATTACAAGTAGCACACGGCGGATGTGACCGATAGACAGGATATGCTCATTTCTACATAGTACCTGATCCCACCTTTGATGTTTTGGAGGTCTGTGTTTGCTTTAATTGCTCATATTTGGTATTGTTTGATGGACTTTTGACCTTGAACATTGTTCGTTAGCTCCATATGTTTCATTGAAAAGAAATTTGCACACGTCTATCAGTGTGTAGATTTGTTCCAGTGTTGACATAAATATAGTTCCTTGTTTTGTCAAAACAGCGTTTTATATGCGAAGGTATTATACATCTTATCTGTATAGTAAACAGACTCAATGTGAAGACAGCAAGCGTTATATTTGATCTTCAGTACTTAAACATGTTAAATTCATATAAACCTGCGTAAACAACAAAGTTATTCAAACATTTTTTACCTGAGGAGATAATAATTTTCGTTCTAATGGATTTTATTAGGGAAAAAATTATGTCATGACTGATATAAAGGGACACTTTTAATGCCAATCCAAATCAACTCCGCTGGTTAGGTCCCACAGTAGGATTGATTTGTGAAAAAAAAAATTAAGAAAAGCAGGACATTGGGAGATAAAATTAAGACGCAAGCATCTCAGTGTGCACATCAAATACCTTCCCCAAACGGAGGGAGATAATATACACTGTATAGGAGACTGGAAATATATAGAAAATATTTTGAAATTTTCTCTATCAAAGCTGGACTATGATTAGTGATATTGATATGTAAGAACCCTTTGGGAGTATAGATTCAAGATGGTTCGAATCATGACCACTGGTATATGAGGAGTTACTATAGGTGATCTAACGTTTTCCCCTGCAGTTAACATGTACTGAGAAGTAAATTTCGTCTTTTCAAGAACAGCTAGGTCTTTAAAGGTGCTAAATACATATAACGACATTAATCGATGTCGTATAAATGGCAGTGATATATTATTGCTTAAGATTACAGTAATTTCACAAAACATATTTTTGGTGCATTAAACAAATTATGAATATTTAATTTCTTTAAAACTGTAAGGGACAGATACCTGTTTGTTCTACAATATCTACATCTTTGATTGTCTCTGGTCATGAAATGATCAATCTTTTTTATAAAGGGGTTATTTTAGACCCTTCAAGAGCCTTTCAATGCTTAAAGGAACACTCTGGGATTGTATCCAGTTATTTTTGAATTTGAACATCACTAATCATGGAGAGTGATATCAGCATTAAAGTATTACGCTAAATTGAAGTTCAAAAGCTACATGTTACATATAGAAGTAGCGATCTCAACGAAGGCATTTTTGGTAAATGGATAAGTCCAATTTTATAAAGAATAAAATGAATGTTATTAAAAATATGCAACTAAGATTTCTCCCTGGCAGTTGCTTTTTTTCCAAAATAAGATCTTGCAGAAAAGAGAGAACGTACTCTGAAAATCAATATTGGAAACATTAATTCTTGGTTAAACCATAATTTAAAAAAATACCCCATATTTTGTAGACAACTGTTACGGAAGAAGAAAAGAGGAATTTCAAAATAATTTAATATTTCCTAAATATCTTGGTATCCAGATTCGTTATCAACAAATTTCCTTAAACTTGAAAAGGAAGATTGTTAAGGATAAGTTTCTCAACATTTCATAGCATGCAAAAACATTTTAATTGGACAGATTGTAAAAGTACTGCTTCCATTTGTCAGAATTATTAATTAACAAATTTTCAAGTGATAAGCAAACTCCTTTGATATTGATATAATCACTAAGCATATTTTTTTTTTCAAATGCAACGATATCTTGTTAAGCTTATCTTTATCTGTTGCCAACAAAAATATTTGTTTTTCAATAAGCAGTCCCGTAATAACATAAATTATAACGATATCACCATTTCCGTATCAAATGGAAAAAAACAAGCAATAGATTAGCAAGAAAACGACTTCCTTGTGTCAGGGAGGCTAAGATTAACCAAAAGCTTATACTTTCCTTCTATATCCCAATACTTCCTAAACCTAAAAACAGTCTTGATCAAACACTTGGAGAGGCATGTTGACGATATGCGCTGTGGCTCTTTTGTTCTATTCTACTGAAGCGTTGCAGAATTACAGCTTTGGTGACCCACGGGCTTGCAATATCGAGAAAGGAGATCAGAATTTTATGTTTGAAGTCCTGCCTGGATTTGGTTGGGATAATCTTGTAAATGAAAATCGAGGAGTAGTTGTCAATTTTAACTATTCAAAATGCAAAACAACCGAGGACAGAAAATACCTTATTCCAGACGGCGTCGTAGCTATTCCTATCAAGACAAGTCATTTGAATATCTTCTCGAAGGTATATGATCACTGGTCTCAATATAAGTCAGACACAGCATTTTCTATAAATATCGGTGGTTCAGCTAGTATCGCAGGAGTCAAAATTGCTGCAAGTTTGTCCACTGAATATGAACACATTAAAAAGCATCAGCTTGAGGATAAATCATTTACTACAAAAGTCCAAGCACGATTCGTCCGGTATAACGCTAAAGTTCTTCCCGACATACAACTTGATCGATCATTTCGTAAACGTCTTCTGAAAATAGCCAACCATATTCAACATAATCGAAAACTGTCAACAAGATATGAAAGTGAACTCTTAGTTCGAGATTTTGGCACCCACGTCCTTACAAGTGTTGATGCTGGTGCTTCTATTGTCAAAGTGGATCAGGTCGACTCCTCTCTACGTGCAGACAAAGAGGTTGATAAAGTAAAGATAAGTTTTGCAGCAAGTGTCTCCTTTGGAATCGGAAATGTAAATATGAAAACGCAGTACACACACTCAAAAACTGCCATCGAGAAATACATGAAAAGTGTTAAAAACTCAGATATAAGAACATACGGCGGACCACCAATGAGTCCTGAAAATTTCACACTTAGTAAATGGACACCCACTATTGGAAATGATTTGGTTGCAGTTGATAGAAATGGATTTCCTCTTGATTATGTCATCTCTACAACTTCACTTCCTGAACTATCTGAAAGTCTAGTTGAAGAAGTCGTCCAGAGTGTTCGAACTGCAATCTCGTCCTACTTCCTCCATAACACGTACCCAGGATGCACCGATCCAGACGCCCCAAACTTCAGCAAGATTTCAAATCTGGATGATGGTACCTGCCATGCACCTCTAACGAACCTTAGCTTTGGTGGGATTTATCAAACATGTCAGTTCCAGGGAGGATTAATGAATAACGAAAACTTGTGTGACAAACTGAACATTACTGTAAGAAATCCTCAAACACAGAACTTTCAATGTCCGGAAGGATTTGATGCAGTTCTTCTTTATGAAGGAAAAACACATAAAGCTCAACACGAGCACACGTGTCATAAATGCTGGATCTTTTTCAAGTGTTGTCACGATAAGTCTTATTATGGCTCTGCAACATACACATCATATTGGTGTCGTGCAAAACCAAACACACCCGTTCAGGAAAACAGCGGATTTCTCTTTGGAGGCCTCTACTCAGACAGAACCAGTAATTTTGTAACTCAATCAAAATCATGCCCGCAGTACTACAATCCATTGAAGATTGCCTCTAATGTCCATGTCTGCATCAGTGATGATTATGAACTTGGCGCCAAGTCTTCCGTGCCATTTGGTGGTTTCTTCAGTTGTCAACATGGTAACCCTTTGGTTGACAGTAAATATACAAAATCTTGTCCTAAAGGTTTCAGTAACCACTTAGCCACCATTGACAACAACTGTGAACTACAGTTCTGTGTAAGGACTGGTCAAATGTCGGAACTAAAATTTCCTACAGTTCAACTTCCACCGTTTATTGGTATCCCAGCAGAGAGTTTAACAGAGAGAGCAAACTATATCATTTCCCATGATTCGGAATCCTGGACCCAACTTATAAATCCCGAAACGAATAGCAAAGAGCCTGATGAATCCACTTGGACAACTTTGAATTCTGCACCAACAGAGATGCATGCCTTGATGAAGAAATTCTCCAATAATCACGTAGTCAGTGAAAATGATGATTCAGGAATGTCTAAAGGTGCCATTGCAGGTCTCTCAGTTGGCCTTACAACTGCTATTTGCCTGGTATTAGGAATTATTATAGCTGTTCGACGAAATCAGAAACAAAGAAAAATCTATGAGAGTTTTAATTGATTTTCTTTTACGATTTGATAAGTTTGCTTTTTGCTTTAAAAACGAAACTTTGGAATTTTTGAG